AAAATATGTACCTAGTCCGCCATATTGGAACGGCGTCCATCTTGAATTTTAAATTTTGACATAATCATCGTGTTTTACTAGTGTAGCCCTTTCATTTGATACCCATATTGCGGGGGTTAAGGAAAAATATGTAATCCGCCATTTTGTATCGGCGGCTATCTTAGATTTATAATGTTATTGATTTTATTATATTGTATTGTCATCTAAATTAAATGTGTGTACCAAATTTCAGATCAATCTGACAACGGGAAGGTGCTTAAATTCCAATTTCTAATTTTGACCCAAATAAATAAATACCGTACAGGTCGAGCTAATTAAAACCGTTTAATTTAAAGCAATTGTGAATAGGCTATTCTCGGGTCCACAAGTTTAGTCTAAGACCACATCATCACCATCCATCTGGTGAGATGTGTGTCTAGTGTCTGAGTGTCTTGTGTCTCAGTGTCTAGTGTTTAGTGTCTGAGTGTCGAGTGTCGAGTGTCGAGTGTCGAGTGTCGAGTGTCGAGTGTCCGAGTGTCTAGTGTCTGGGTGTCTGAGAGTCTAGTGTCTGAGTGTCTTGTATCCGAGTGTCTAGTGTCTGTATATCTAGTGTCTGGGTGTCTGATTGTCTAGTGTCTGAGTGTCTAGTGTTTGAGTGTCTAGTGCCTGAGTGTCTAGTGTCTAGTGTCTGAGTGTCTGAGTGTCTAGTGTCGAGTGTCTGAGTGTCTAGTGTCTGACTGTCGAGTGTCGAGTGTCGAGTGTCAAATGTCGAGTGTCGAGTATCGAGTGTCGAGTGTCTAGTGTCAGAGTATCTAGTGTCTGGGTGTCTGAGTGTCAAGTGTCTGAGAGTCTAGTGTCTGAGTGTCTTGTATCCGAGTGTCTAGTGTCTGAGTGTCTAGTGTCTGGGTGTCTGAGTGTCTAGTGTCTAAGTGTCGAGTGTCGAGTGTCTAGTGTCTGAGTGTCTGAGTGTCTGAGTGTCTAGTGTCGAGTGTCTGAGTGTCTAGTGTCTGAGTGTCGAGTGTCGAGTGTCAAATGTCGAGTGTCGAGTGTCGAGTGTCGAGTGTCGAGTGTCGAGTGTCTAGTGTCAGAGTATCTAGTGTCTGGGTGTCTGAGTGTCAAGTGTCTGAGAGTCTAGTGTCTGAGTGTCTTGTATCCGAGTGTCTAGTGTCTGAGTGTCTAGTGTCTGGGTGTCTGAGTGTCTAGTGTCTAAGTGTCGAGTGTCGAGTGTTGAGTGTCGAGTGTCTAGTGTCTGAGTGTCTGAGTGTCTAGTGTCGAGTGTCTGAGTGTCTAGTGTCTGAGTGTCGAGTGTCGAGTGTCGAGTGTCAAATGTCGAGTGTCGAGTATCGAGTGTCTAGTGTCAGAGTATCTAGTGTCTGGGTGTCTGAGTGTCAAGTGTCTGAGAGTCTAGTGTCTGAGTGTCTTGTATCCGAGTGTCTAGTGTCTGGGTGTCTGAGTGTCTAGTGTCTAGTGTCTAAGTGTCGAGTGTCGAGTGTCGAGTGTCAAGTGTCAAGTGTCGAGTGTCGAGTGTCGAGTGTCTAGTGTCTGAGTGTCTAACGTCTGGGTGTCTGAGTGTCAAGTGTCTGAGAGTCTAGTGTCAAGTGTCTGAGTGTCTGAGTGTCTAGTGTCGAGTGTCTGAGTGTCTAGTGTCTGAGTGTCGAGTGTCGAGTGTCGAGTGTCGAGTGTCGAGTGTCAAATGTCGAGTGTCGAGTATCGAGTGTCGAGTGTCGAGTGTCGAGTGTCGAGTGTCTAGTGTCAGAGTATCTAGTGTCTGGGTGTCTGAGTGTCAAGTGTCTGAGAGTCTAGTGTCTGAGTGTCTTGTATCCGAGTGTCTAGTGTCTGAGTGTCTAATGTCTGGGTGTCTGAGTGTCTAGTGTCTAAGTGTCGAGTGTCGAGTGTCTAGTGTCTGAGTGTCTAGTGTCTAAGTGTCGAGTGTCGAGTGTCTAGTGTCTGAGTGTCTGAGTGTCTGAGTGTCTAGTGTCGAGTGTCTGAGTGTCTAGTGTCTGAGTGTCGAGTGTCGAGTGTCAAATGTCGAGTGTCGAGTGTCGAGTGTCGAGTGTCTAGTGTCGAGTGTCTAGTGTCAGAGTATCTAGTGTCTGGGTGTCTGAGTGTCAAGTGTCTGAGAGTCTAGTGTCTGAGTGTCTTGTATCCGAGTGTCTAGTGTCTGAGTGTCTAGTGTCTGGGTGTCTGAGTGTCTAGTGTCTAAGTGTCGAGTGTCGAGTGTCGAGTGTCAAGTATCGAGTGTCGAGTGTCGAGTGTCTAGTGTCAGAGTATCTAGTGTCTGGGTGTCTGAGTGTCAAGTGTCTGAGAGTCTAGTGTCTGAGTGTCTTGTATCCGAGTGTCTAGTGTCTGAGTGTCTAGTGTCTGGGTGTCTGAGTGTCTAGTGTCTAAGTGTCGAGTGTCGAGTGTCGAGTGTCAAGTGTCGAGTGTCGAGTGTCTAGTGTCTGAGTGTCTAACGTATGGGTGTCTGAGTGTCAAGTGTCTGAGAGTCTAGTGTCTAAGTGTCAAGTGTCGAGTGTCGAGTGTCTGAGTGTCTGAGTGTCTGAGTGTCTGAGTGTCTGAGTGTCTAGTGTCGAGTGTCTGAGTGTCTAGTGTCTGAGTGTCAAGTGTCTGAGAGTCTAGTGTCTAAGTGTCAAGTGTCGAGTGTCGAGTGTCGAGTGTCGAGTGTCGAGTGTCGAGTGTCGAGTGTCGAGTGTCAAGTGTCGAGTGTCGAGTGTCGAGTTTCGAGTGTCTAGTGTCTGAGTGTCTAGTGTCTGGGTGTCTGAGTGTCAAGTGTCTGAGAGTCTAGTGTCTGAGTGTCTTGTATCCGAGTGTCGGAGTGTCTAGTGTCTAGTGTTTAGTATCTGAGTGTCGAGTGTCGAGTGTCTAGTGTCTAAGTGTCGAGTGTCGAGTGTCGAGTGTCAAGTATCGAGTGTCGAGTGTCGAGTGTCTAGTGTCAGAGTATCTAGTGTCTGGGTGTCTGAGTGTCAAGTGTCTGAGAGTCTAGTGTCTGAGTGTCTTGTATCCGAGTGTCTAGTGTCTGAGTGTCTAGTGTCTGGGTGTCTGAGTGTCTAGTGTCTAAGTGTCGAGTGTCGAGTGTCGAGTGTCAAGTGTCGAGTGTCGAGTGTCTAGTGTCTGAGTGTCTAACGTATGGGTGTCTGAGTGTCAAGTGTCTGAGAGTCTAGTGTCTAAGTGTCAAGTGTCGAGTGTCGAGTGTCTGAGTGTCTGAGTGTCTGAGTGTCTGAGTGTCTGAGTGTCTAGTGTCGAGTGTCTGAGTGTCTAGTGTCTGAGTGTCAAGTGTCTGAGAGTCTAGTGTCTAAGTGTCAAGTGTCGAGTGTCGAGTGTCGAGTGTCGAGTGTCGAGTGTCGAGTGTCGAGTGTCGAGTGTCAAGTGTCGAGTGTCGAGTGTCGAGTTTCGAGTGTCTAGTGTCTGAGTGTCTAGTGTCTGGGTGTCTGAGTGTCAAGTGTCTGAGAGTCTAGTGTCTGAGTGTCTTGTATCCGAGTGTCGGAGTGTCTAGTGTCTAGTGTTTAGTATCTGAGTGTCGAGTGTCGAGTGTCTAGTGTCTGAGTGTCGAGTGTCTGAGTGTCTAGTGTTTAGTGTCTGAGTGTCGAGTGTCGAGTGTTGAGTGTCGAGTGTCGAGTGTCTAGTGTCTAGTGTCTGAGTGTCTTGTATCCGAGTGTCTAGTGTCTGGTGTTTAGTGTCTGAGTGTCGAGTGTCGAGTGTCTAGTGTCTGAGTGTCTAGTGTCCGAGTGTCTAGTGTCTGAGTGTCTTGTATCCGAGTGTCTAGTGTCTGTGTGTCTAGGGTTTGGGTGTCTCAGTGTCTAGTGTCTGAGGGTCTAGCGTCTGAGTGTCTAGTGTCCGAGTGTCTAGTGTCTGGGTGTCTCAGTGTAGTCCTATTATTTGATACCCATATTGTGGTGGTTGTGGAAAAATATGTACCTAGTCCGCCATATTGGAACGGCGTCCATCTTGAATTTTAAATTTTGACATAACCATCGTGTTTTACTAGTGTAGCCCTTTCATTTGATACCCATATTGCGGGGGTTAAGGAAAAATATGTAATCCGCCATTTTGTATCGGCGGCCATCTTAGATTTATAATGTTATTGATTTTATTATATTGTATTGTCATCTAAATTAAATGTGTGTACCAAATTTCAGATCAATCTGACAACGGGAAGGTGCTTAAATTCCAATTTCTAATTTTGACCCAAATAAATAAATACCGTACAGGTCGAGCTAAATAAAACCGTTTAATAAAAATGGAGTAAGTTCTAGCGTTTTCCCAACATTTCCCTTCACTGCTCTGCTCCTATTGATCGTAGCGTGATGAAAAGTATACTATAACCTGCCCAGGAGTATGAAGAATAATTGTACCAAGTTTCGTTAAAATCCGTCGAGTAGTTTTTATTTCTATAACGAACATACAGATAGACAGACAATTAATTTACTGATTGCATTTTTGGCACCAGTATCGATCACTAATCACCCGCTGATAGTTATTTTGGAAATATATTTCATGTGCAGAATTGACCTCTCTACAGATTTATTATAAGTATAAATTTGCTTCTTTTCGTGTGTTTTTGTTCTATAACCGTGTAAAGAACAGTGGTCTAATCTATTTGGCAGTTGGCAGGGGGGGGGGGGAAAGGGATTGTTAGTAATGGAGACTGAAAATCCTATTGCTAGCAATATACCCAACCAGGTCGACCTCCTCGCGGTTCTACCTGGAGACACTATCATGGTTAATTCCTGATGAATTCATCATGATGGGCTAACTGGCCTGTTTTCATTCTCATCTATCACCCTTCACTGGTGCTCCGCCAGCGTATCCCGTTAGCGCAGGCGGGGTTACAATATCATTTACACCCATCAAAAAAAAATCTGTTAGGCATGTCCCGAATAATTACCTGACAAATCGGGTATCGTACTGTTTAAACATGCCTAATGGATGATAGCTAGGAAGTAGTTCTTCGAACTGGTTCTATAATTTGTTCTACAGTAGAACAGATGTTTATCTTATTAATGCTATTAATTTAAGGGCAGCCATGTTTGTGTTTGGACTGGGACCGAATACGCTGTTCGGTGGACAAGAGCCAGTCGACGCCGGAGGGCATGTCGCCTGATATTGGAAGATTCCCATGGTTGGGCGTAATACAGCATAGTTTCTGTAAGATTTTAGTGACTTCTATTTTTAAGCATTTATCTCTATCTATCTATGTACCTGCCATATTACCAGAAAATTCCTCACTTCGTCTACTATTACATCTTCCTTCTCTTTCTATCCTTTCTTTGTATCATACTTGGTTAAATCCCGTATGGATGAATAAACCTCCTTCCATATATGTAAAAGAGAAAGAAAACAAAAAAAAAACATAACACTAATAATATGTATTTATTTATTTATTTATGTACACTTTTTTGCACCATTTATAAAATAGTAAACACATTTAACTGCAATAAGAAATGATACAAAAGGCGGCCTTATCGCTAAGCAATCTCTTCCAGACAACCTTTGGGTAGAGAACATTGAGAAAAGAAAGAAAAACAAAAAAAGTAATATGTATAGTATGTATATGTATAAGTGTGTATATGTATGTATGTATATATTTTGCATATATAAAAACCGATCAATTGTGTCATTACGCAAATGTGAAACCGATTCATGGCTTAACAAAGACATAAATTTGATTATGTATTGACTGTAATTCAGCTGTATGTTTTCCAAAAAATAAATTTATAAATAAATAAATAATATTTAAAAGTTATATTGCTCTATATTTATACAACCAGTTTCTAGAAGGAACCCTATTATCATGTTTAGGATAATAATAACACGCTTAATGCCCCATCGTTAACGACCTTGAAACAAAAAAAAGTTGAAATTTATGCTCGAACGACGTTCCAGGTAATTGAGAAATTTTTTTTAGTTAAAAATTGGGGGCAATCATGTTGGGGCGCGACTCCTAATAACATTTTAATGTGATGCGTGAAGATGTATTAGAAATGGAATTATTAAGTTTGTTGTATTAATTTTTTTTCTCTTTAAAAAGAATTGAATGTATTGTAAATAGGTTAATAAACGCTACTAATATTATAAATGTGAAAATGAATTTGTTTGTTACCTTATAGCGCACTAACGGCTTAACAATTTATTATGATTTTTTTTTAATGGATGGAAATGGAATGGTCGCCACGCCTGCGCTATCGGGATATGCTGGCGGGGCACCAGTGAGGAATGATTAGCGAGGATGAAGCAGGTCAGTTGGCCCATCCTGATAAATTTATCAAAAATTAACCACGATGGTCTCCAGGGGGTACCGCGTGGAGGTCGACCAGTCAGGGTATATTGCTAGTAATGTGTGTGTTGGATCTCACTATTAACAATCCCTGCAACCCCTTTATTATGAAATTAGGTATATACGTATTATATGGGATGGGGAAAAATAAAGGGTATTTTTCATGGCGGTTAGTATAATATAGATTTCAGTCATTGCGACGAAGTCGCGGGTAAAAGCTAGTAATCAATAATTTTAAAAGAATTGAATATGTATGTATACACCTCTGTCCCATTTGTGTTTCTATCAGAGGGAGACTGTACAAAAGTCGTTTGCTCGGGCACCTCTGTCCCATTCGTGTTTCTACTGTGAAGCAGTTGTGTTTGCATGGCTGTATTTCAGTTTGAAGGATAGAATATGATAATGAATTAACAGGGTACAGAGGAATAACACCTGAATCCTCAGGAATGGCAACGCATGGGGGGTATCATGGTCGAAACAACATACTCTCTTATGCCCATGCTATTGCTCATGTCTATAGGCGACGGTTACCATTTTTAATCAAGTGGGCCATGCGCTTGTTTGCCATTTTAAGTTACATAAAAAAATATAAATACAATACGTATAATACTAGTTTTTACACACGATTTCGTCCGCATGACCAGGTTACTTTTACGGGTTATAATTACGGACTGGGATAAAAAAACCTTTATCTTTCTCCAACCCATATAGTGCGCTAAGAGGTAGATAGATAGATAGATAGATAATTTATTTACATTACTTACAGCACACAAATTACAACATATATAGATATATATAAAAAGCGAGATAACATAAATTATTAAAAAATAAAATAACAAACAAAAAACAAAATTTACTTTCACATGTATCATCGTCGTCTTCCTACCCTTATCCTAATTATTATATGGGGTCGGCGTAATATGGTTTTATCCATATTACAAAAAGATTTGGCTTATAGTTTTACGACCGGTCACCTGCCTGACGTGCCAACCCTCTTTGGGAATGCATTTGTTGGTGGTTTCACATTAATAAAGATGGTTTTTATTTATTTTGTACAATAGACAAAGTAATAACTAAAAACTAACTTTACTAACTTAAGTCTAGTTCGTTTTGTTTGTAAATTGTCACAATATTGTACACCGCTCTACCCGCTGACATTGATGCTCCTTTTCATATTTGGTGTTGCTAGAAGAGAAATCTTTTAGAGTTAAGCTCGCTTTTTAAAATTAACTTCCATCTGTTATATTTTTATGTACTATCAGTGTGTACGACAAAGTATAAATATATAAATAAATAAATAAATAAACCTTCTCATTATCTTGAAAAAAGATAATGTTACTTATTATATAGTACAAAAATATAAGAACCAAGATAAAGAAGCGACAATGGGTGGCCATAGACAACTTTAGTGACATAGATAACAATGTATATTTATTTGTATTCTCCATCTACGCTTCCGGCTTTGTTGAACTTTGAAATTTAATCATAGACAGTACTAGTGGGTAGCTTTGAAAGCTCACCCACGCAATGTCTTTCTTAAAAGATTTGTAGATACTTTCTCGGTACAAAATTTAATATTGAGATTATTTATTTATTAAGATTATGTTTATCAAAAGAAAATCCACTTCAATTGTAACAAAACTAAGTTTTTTGATTTAAAAACTAAGCCACTGAACCGATTTTGATAAAATCTCTATGGGACCAAAATATAAGTATATCCATCTTTATCCAGATAAAAAAAAATTCCAAATCGGTTTACAACTGATGGAGTCATGTGCTTACAAACAAAAAACGTACAACCGAATTACGATAACGTCCTTCTTTTTGAAGTCTGTTTTGAAAATTACAATGGTTAGGATAGAATACAACTGTTATAAATTTCTAAATTAGATTAAAAAATACAGGGCATTTGCAATAGAAGATTCATTTTTTATTCCTGAATTTAGCCTTACGAGAACCTTTTTTTTATGCAACTTAAAATGGCATACAAGTTGACGACCCACCTGATGGAAAGCGGTAACCGTCGCCTATAGACATGAGCAGTACCGTGGACATAACAGAGTATACTGTTTCGCCCATGATACCCCCCATGCGTTGCCATTCCTGAGGATTAGCTCATGTTTGAGTGTTTCGGGTTGTGCCCTCAGAAGTTCGTTGTCTGGTTCTCATAACATTAGGTATCTTGATTGAGGAGCAGTTTTTTTTTCTCCTATATAATAATAATAATAAATAATAATAATTTTATTCAAGTGAGATACAGTACAATTTACAATTTTTACAATTTATTAAATCGCATCTCAAGTTTGTGGTAGCAAATAAACACAAGTGTACGCCAAGAACATAGGTGAGAAAATCAGCATAACAAGTAAATAAAATAAAAAAAAAAAACCTTGAGCACCAGTCAATTGATGCGGTTGTGTGGCATTTATTTATTAATTTCGAAATACTCGCCATTTACAGATCTAATGTTCCATAATACACTACTGGGAATATTATCATTAAATAAGTAATAGATGAAGATTTTATTGTACACATGTATTTAAAAAAAATGAGGTCATTACACTGAAATGCCAATGATCATTACAAGATCGCATTAGACAAAAAAAAAAATCAATGAGATCATTGGGAGATCATTTTGTAATCGTACTAGTTTTTTTTAGATTCGAATGAAATGCATTTGATTCGGCTGTTAGTGGGCGGTACGATTTTTTTCACTGCATGGGTAATGGTAGTTAGTTTGCGCGGATTCTGGCTCACTCGGCGGCTGCCTCCCAAAAAAAGCTCATTCGACAAGATTCGTTCCAATTGAAGGCGGATTCTATTGGAATACGGAGAGTAGTTGGTTTGCGCGGATTCTGTCTCACTCGGCGGCTGCCTCCCAAATAAAGCTCATTCGACAAGATTCGTTCCAATTGAAGGCGGATTGTATTGGAGTACGGAGAGTAGTTGGTTTGCGTGGATTCTGGCTTACTCAGCGGCTGCCTCCCAAAAAAAGGACTACTTTTTTCTACCCGAATCGTTGGAATTTCTAACGACTAATATCACCCCAAAAAAAGGGATATGTCAAAATCAGGAATGTTAATTTTCACATAAGAATAAAAACCGACCATATTCGTGTTTCAACTTGTTCGTCCAGCCGACTCTATAACAGTCGTTTCACCATTTTAAATGTATCACAAGAATAAGAATTGCTGTACTAAGTGTACGGTTCTCGTGTGTTACGTTAACTCTGAACAATAATGGAGGTGAGTTTTTGAACATAGACAAATTGATTTTTTTATAAATCTAGTCATCGTCAAAAGCCTAAAGTTGTGACGTTTTGTAACTTAGGTCAATTTAATTTTAGATGCTAAATAATTAAGAATTGTCTAATTATGTAGTCTAATTTGTTCTCACTCTGCAATAATTATATCATACAATAACGTATTGTGTTGTGTGTTCATCTATTCGCATTTGTTTCAGCTTACTATAAACGAAGACACGGTGGATTACACATTTAAAAATTATTATTATCCCAAAATAAGTAATGACGAGCGGCAAGATGAAAAGCAAGAAAAACTCTACATTGAAGCGGGCTAACAACAGTATTGGGTATTTATTTGAAAAGCCGAAGAAAAAAAAGAAAGCAGTTCTGTATTTAAATTATAATTTTTTTTTTAATTATTGTAGTTTATTAGTATTGCAGTTGGTTGCTAGATATGGCACAATGTCTTCGTTGATGTAACTAGCTACCATACGTTTTAAATGTCTGTTTTGGGATCCTGCAATGAGGAGGAGGGCGTTGATATTCGCGACACAGTTTCATGCTTCTGCGGATGTCATCGTTTTTCAATAATATTATAACCAATGTTTTTGTTCCAAATAAAGAATT